GGAAACCCTAAATAGGGTTTGGAAAACCCTAATGCCTTGAAACCCTAATTTTGGGATTTATCGGGACCGCACGAGAATTATTTAATAAAGCTAAAATAATAATTAATAATCATTAGAAATTAACCTAAGATAATATTTGACTTAATGGATTAAGTCCTTAATGGGTTAAGTAAGAAACACTTAACCTTAATCGTCATTTCATGTGGAAACCCTAATTTCACTTGGGCCTTGAGTTGGGCCTTTCTATTGGGCTTTGGTGATTGGAATATTAATGGGCTTTCCAAGAATAAGTAAATGGACTAAATAATTGTATGGGTTTTAGGATAAGGCCCATGTGAGAGTCTTGGGCCCAATTTCAAAAATTGGGCCATATATGGGCCATAATTGGGCCTTTATGATTACGTGATATTGGGCCATGGGAATACCAAGAGTTTGGACTAGAATAATTGAATGGGCCTTAAGGAAAGACCAGGCCCAATTTGGAAAATTGGGCCATATGTTGGGCTTTGATCCATTACTTGACTTTTGGGCTTTTGGTGTGTGAGTTGGACCTTGGGCTTGGAACCCAATTATTAATTGGGTGTTGTTTGATGTTGACAGTTCGGGAATCTGTCAATTAGCAGCTGGAGTTTTATCTGCGGGGCTTCAGCAGTGTCAGGTGAGTTCTCCTCACTATATCAACAGGGTCTAATGCACCAATGCCGACCCTTATCAGATTTGTATCCGGGTTTATTGCATGATATGCTTATTGATTTACATCCTGGTAATTAGGATGGTGATATGCTTAATGACCTGGTAGGTCTGTATCCTGGTTTATAGGATTATGTTATGTTAGTGTTCTGTTAGATCGGTATCCTGATTATAGGATGGTTGATATGTTATTGATCGGTTAGATCTGTATCCTGTTTATAGGATGTTGTTATGATTATTGATCTGTTAGATTGGTATCCTGCTTATAGGATGGTTGATATGTTATTGATCGGTTAGATCTGTATCCTGGTTATAGGATGTTGTTATGATTATTGATCTGTTAGATCGACAGACTGTTATATATGCTAGCGTATGATATTTATGTGCACATGTTGGTTTGATTTGGGGATGGGTTGAGACGGTCCTGCTTTGTGCTGAAGGCCAAATACCAGGGCGGTTCGGGTAACCTGAAGGCCCTGCAAAGGGATTCAGTCAGGCCGAAGGCCCGACGAGCGGTCCGGATAGGATGTATGCCCTGCGAGGCGGTCCAGTCATGCCGAAGGCTCGGGGAGCGGTCCAGATAGACTGTAGGCCCTACGAGGCGGTCCAGTCATGCTGAAGGCTCATTATGCATGCTGTTTGTTATGTATTCGTTATATGATATGGTTATATTTGTATGACGTTGGTATTTTGGGGGAACTCACTAAGCTTCGGGCTTACAATTGTTGATTTGTTTCAGGTACTTCTGATGATCACGGGAAGACGAAGGCATGATCGTGCACCTCCTCATATTTTCATGATTGATTCCGGGGATACTCTGATGCTTAAACTATTTTGAAAACAAATTGTAATAACTTAATGGTTTCTAGATGTTTTAAAAAGTTTTAAATTGACTTGAATTTTATGGGTGTTACAAATAATTGCATATGTTTAGAATTAGTAGTCAATAATTTTCAACCCTAATATACAATCAATAAAATTAATCATAGTTATGTGTATTAAGTTACAATAGAACAATCATATGCATTCTTTGAAAAACCGTTTTGAAATAATTTTTTGGAAGTTGAACACTATGATATGAAAATTTTGCCAAAGAATAATTCTAAAAAAGATAAGAATCGAAAGATACGCCATTAAAATAAAATTGGCATGTAAAAAGAACTCATCAAAATACAATTATTGTTTAAACACATTTTAAAAATATCAAAAAGACACTAACAATTTTCTTTTAGCTCTAAATATACAATCTCACCTAATTAACTCCTTGTTTCTATCTTTTTGTTCTTTCGCAAACACATTTGCAACACATAACACATAACACATAAAATTTGACAACATTTTACTTTTGACCTTAAACGTACAACCTTGTGACAATTTTCATCATTTTTGAATACCAAAAACTTTTGGATTGACTTTTCTTTTTGCTCTAAACGTACAAATTTGAGGCAATTCTTAATCATCTTTAAGTACCAAAAACTTTTGTATTGACTCTTGTACACAACAAATGTCTTATTGAATTTTAAGAAAAAAGATGAAAAAAGATGAGGAAAGATTTTTCTAGCAATAATTTAATTGATATAAATAATAAAAGTTTTACATAGACGTATCAGGTAAACGAACAACAAGCTGTGTTGCAACCCATTTTGAAGGACAAAACTAATTATTTTAAAAACAATATTTTATAGATCTCTGGGTCATAACATTACTATGCATGACCCGTTGGACTCTATTGAGGAGCTCCATAACACCTGACGCAAGGAAACCGAAATTATCAAATACAAGAGGTAAAAATATGTGTTGATTTTCCATGCACACTTTCTCATGCTTTACCACTTTGCATGATGCAACTTTTAAAGTGGCTTGCCCCACAGTGAGAACCCCACTCCCCCAACCCACAAGAAGGGAAACCCCTGTTAGATCCACACATACATGCTTCCCTCCAGCCATCCAAAAACTAAAACATTAGTTGGTTTAAGTGTTGATCTTCTTTCCAACGGGTCAGTTAGAAAGTTTGCAGGTGTTTCTTTCTTGGCAGAAACTTCTTCATTCACATGCACTCAAGATAACAAAAATAAAAAGAGAAGAAAAACAAAATGAAAAGAGAAGAGAAGCAAGTGTTTTATATATAAACAAAATATTTAATCAAATAATCATTTAAGTAACATAACATGAAGAGTTTGAGAGTTTCAAATGAATATGATTCAAGATACTTGACATATCTTGAACCACATTCACTTAAATAGCCTCATTTATAAGAGATAGAAAGATTTAGCCACTTATGTTTATTTTTGTACATGTTTAGTTATTTATATTTTTTTGTATATGTTTAGTCAATTATATTTTACTTTGTACACACATGACCATTAAATGTAATAATAGTATGTGTACAAAATAAAAAAGAGAAAATTGCAAATTTAGCCAAATATTTTAATTATTTTGTGGAAAATAGCAAAAAAAAAAACCCAAATTACATTTTAGCTATCAAAAATCACAGATGGATTAAGTCTATCTGCGATTTTAGCAACCCATCTGCAAACGTACAAGTCGCTAAAGCACGACTTTGCTTTAGCGACTTGTATGTTCGCAGATGGACTAGTCCATCTACGAACATAGCCGTGCCAAGTATAAAAACATAACTTTTTTTGCTTTATTTTTCACTCTTTTTTGTTGGAAAACTCTCTCTAGGAAACAATTTTTTTTGCTTTATTATTCAAAAATTGTTTCAATAACTTTCCACCTCCCACCGGTTACAAGTCAACCCAAATATTCATTCATTTTATTAGAGAGGTTTTAAAGAAATTTTCCAAAGAAATAACAACTAAACTGATAATTTTTGCAAAATTTTATATATAATAATGTTGTTTCGTAGTCAAACTCTATCAATTTTGTAGTAAAAATAAAAATAATAAAAATAAAAATAAAAAAAACCCAAAATCACAGTTGAAATGGAGAGGAAATCGCAGATGGACTTAGTCCATCTGCGATTTTAAGCATACAAAGAAGGTACAAGTCGCTAAAGCACATACGTGCTTTAGTGACTTGTTCGTTCACAAATGACTTGCTAAAATAGCAGATGAGTTTAGTCCATCTGCAATTTTGGTGGCTAAAAATGTAATTTGGGTTTTTTTGGCTATTTTCCACAAAGTAATTAACATATTTGGCTAAATTTTCAACTTTCTCAATAAAAAAATATAAGTGACTATATATATATATATATATATATATATATATATATATATATATAACATAAATGGCTAAATTTGTATAAAAATAAACATAAATGACTAAATCTGTACACAATCTAAACTGTGTTACCTTTTTAAGTCATTATCCTTATATTTTAAAGGGGAAAAAGACTTAATTTTCATTTCATTTCATTTACTTTTCTTTCTTAAATGAAATACATGACACATTCTATTATCTTTTATTTCCTTCATTTAAAAAAAAAACTCAATAACATGGTTAAAAAATAGATTTGTCACACGTCATAAGTTGATTATATTTTCACAAGAGGCTAGTGATTATGGCTTAACTCCATTTAACTTATATAATTCTTGGTTAGTTATGGAAGAATTCGGAAATATGGTCAAGCAATTATGGTCCACGGGTGAGACAGAGGACAATGGAAATAAATTTATTGTTTTAAAAAACAAGATGAAGGCTTTTAAAAAAACATATATGTGAACAGTCCTTAAAAATGTTGCATGAAAAAGTTGGTAAGAAAAGGAGTTATTGAAACTTCTCAGTGAGTCAGAAGAATTGATTGATGAAGGTAGTGCTTCAACTAATCTTATAAGAGAACGAAGAAGAACTGTTAAGTGAAATCCGAAGGGTTGAAAAAATTGATATATGCGACTCGATTCAAAAGGCGAAAATAAAATGGGGTTGCAATTCTTCCTTTATAACATTAAACCCAATGGTTTCTAGTCCAATGGTAGTGTCTTATTCTCGTCCTATTAATTTAATCGGCACTCCATAGCCACCGTAAGCTATAGGCCATTGTCTGGGCCTCCCCTCAGCTAGGGCCCAAAAATTGTGATATAAGACTATAAGTTATAGTGGATTAGGCCCATTTTATCTATTTATAATTTACTATCGCTGGTTTTGATGAGGTCAGCTAAGGCCCAAAAACATATAAGGAATACGAATCGGCTTCTCAAAATAAATAATCTTAAAAAATAAAATTAAAAATAAATATGTGTGCTTAATTTGTTAATTTCTCTAAATGTTAGGATAATTGGTATTATTTTCCATAATAACTTGAAAAAATTAGACAGGAATCCCTAACGCAACGCGGCTTTTTGAAAAGTGCAACTGCAGTCGATGCCGTCGATGCCGTTTTTCCTATAAAGCAGCCCTCCATTAACGCCGAAACGCATAAGCACCACCAAAGCAAAGCAAACGCACATTTGCATAAAGCAGAAATATGTCTTCTCCATCATCATCGTCAACAATGGAGTCGCTCATCCTTCAACTGCACGAGATATCCGCCGTGAAATTTGGAAACTTCAAGTTGAAATCCGGCATCTTTTCACCCATATACATCGATCTCCGCCTCATCGTCTCATACCCTAAACTCCTTCGCCTCATTTCCGAAACCATTATCTCCACCCTCCCTGCTTCCGCCGCCTACGACGTCATCTGCGGCGTCCCTTATACCGCCCTCCCCATTGCCACCGTCATATCCACTTCTTCCGATGTCCCAATGCTCATGCGCCGCAAAGAAATCAAGGATTACGGTACTTCAAAAGTCATCGAGGGCGCTTTCCAACCCAATCAGATTTGTTTAGTTGTTGAAGACTTAGTCACAAGTGGAACTTCAGTTCTCGAGACGGCGGCGCCATTGCGTGCCGCCGGGCTTAAGGTTAATGACGCTGTGGTTCTGATTGACAGGGAGCAGGGTGGGAGAGAAAACCTTGCGGCTAATGGGATTACGCTTCACTCAATGGTGAAGCTTACAGACATGGTTAGGGTTTTGAAGGAGAAAGGTAGGGTTTCCGAGGAGACGGAGGCTATGGTGCTTAAGTTTTTAGAAGAGAACAAGAAGGTTGCTCCGGTGGTTGCTAAGGATACTTCCGTTAAGGCCCGGATCCCGTATGACGATCGAGCTAAGTTGGCTAAGAATCCAACTGGGAAGAGACTGTTTGAAATCATGGTGAAGAAAGAAAGCAATTTGTGTTTATCTGCTGATGTATCAACTGCTTCTGAGTTGTTGGCCATTGCTGATAAGGTCAGAAATCATCCCAATTACTTCATGTCAACATGAGATTGCAAGTACATAAATTAGTTATAATGTTGATTTTTTTGGCTAAAATGATCTATTTTCAGATTTTATTTTATAGATTTGTGACATTGAACTCTGACTACACTACTTTTTACACCAAAAAGTATTATAGCTTTTTTCTAACTTATTTTGATTTTCAAATATACCTGCACTGTTTTATGAAATTGTCTTGCATGTTTTTGTTAGGATAACTTTTGGAAGTTATATTATTAAACAAGTTATCTGTATATAATTTATTTTCAATTTATTGTTAAAACAATCGTTTTATTAAATTAAAATATTACATTTACATTTTATAACACAATTAAATATTTTATGTAATACTTATTACTTTAAAATATAACTGTATAAGTAAATTAACCCAAAATATACAAACTAAAATTAACTAGATATGTATAATCTTGAATGTGAAAGACCACAAATGACACATGAAAACAGTTTTGTACTTGTGTTGTTGATTTTGTGGGTTAAGTTGTTTGTTTATTGATTTATGCAGATTGGACCCGAGATCTGTATGTTAAAAGCCCATGTGGACATTCTTCCTGATTTCACCCCAGATTTTGGATCAAAGCTTCGTTCAGTATGATCTCTAAACCCTAAAAAGCTTTTGAGCTTTAAATTTTGCAAGAATGCTAACTTTTGGTTTTCAAATTGATTAATTGTCTGTAATATAGAAAAAAAAACAATTTAATAGAGAATGATACTGACCTTCCTTGTATCTTGTGAAGATTGCAGACAAACACAATTTTCTCATTTTTGAAGATCGAAAATTTGCTGACATTGGCAACACTGTAACAATGCAATATGAAGGGTAAGTTAGTCACATCCTCTAGAAATCAAAACCACAGTGTTTGTATTTTGGGCTAAATGCTAGAAATAGCAACATACTTTTATCTCTTATCTGTGCAAAAGACGTGAATGCCCTTGTTATTTTATTTTGTTGATTATATTGCAGGGGTATTTTTCGTATATTGGAATGGGCAGATATCGTGAATTGTCACATTATATCAGGTCCTGGAATTGTTGACGGCTTGAAATTAAAGGTTTGCATCTTACATTAAAATGGCAACAAACTATTCCATTTGTCCCATCCAGGTCCCTGAACTTTCTAATCGTACGTCTTAGGTCCTTCAACTATCTTTGCATTTAATTTATTACAACGGGTCCCACAGGGTTTGGCTCGTGGAAGGGGGTTACTGCTTCTTGCAGAAATGAGCTCTGCTGGAAACTTTGCCACTGGTGATTACACAGCTGCAGCAGTGAAAATAGCGGAACAACATTCCGATTTTGTAATTGGTTTTATCTCGGTCAACCCGGCATCATGGTCAGCCTGCCCGTCTAATCCATCCTTCATTCACGCAACCCCCGGAGTTCAGTTGGTTAAAGGCGGCGATGCTTTAGGCCAACAATACAACACTCCAAACTCTGTAACTCTTCTTCAAACAAACTAATTTTAAATTCTTACACGTTGTAGTAATATCAATCTATTTACATATATATCTTTTTTGTAGGTAATTTGTGAAAGAGGTAGTGATATTATAATTGTGGGGCGTGGAATCATAAAAGCTGCTAATCCTGTTGATGCGGCCCGGGAATACCGAGTTCAAGGTTGGGAGGCGTATTCCAAGAGCAAGTCTGTATGAAAATTGAAACCAACGTCTTGTTTTTAATCATGTGTTTGTTTTGTGGTGTGTATTATCACATAGACAAAGGGACTTTGTTATTAAATGTTCAATGGAGTCTATTATCCTTTGGGATCTAGATCTTGGTTCTTATCTTTGAAGAATTTGAATTTAAACACATATGAATGTAAAGATGAAACTTTGAGATCCTGGTTCTTCCTCCTCTAGATTCTTATCGTTGAGGAATCAATTGGTGTGGAAGCGAAAAAAAAAACATTTTTGAAAACTTGATTTGGTAGGCACATCGTGGTTCTTATCTTTTGATTTATGTGATCTGAATTTTTAACTTACATTGGTGGACAAGATTTTGGATGGTGGTGAGGGATAGTTTGCAGCATTGAAGAAGATGGTGTTTGGTGGTTGTGGTAGACCATCAACAATTGTGACTTTATAGAAAGCATGAACTAGTTAGGGTTCACGAGACTTTTGAGTTAATGAAAGAGATAAAAGGGTTTCTTGGGTTTTGTTTACTATCATTAAGGGGTAAGTACTAAGTAATGCAAACATATGCCCTAGTTTAGGTGTAATGACATCAACATAAACCATAAAAAGTGAGAAACAAGGCTGGACCAAAATATCTTCATGTGAAAATAAATGTCCTTGTGACAACCGTCAAATTCAAGTCAAAGTCAAAGTCAACAAGTCAAACCGGTCAAACTTAACTAGTACTTGTATGTTAAAAGTTATTCTATAAAAATGTGCATTCGTATGTCAAGAATTCAAGTGTCTCGGGAATTTTATGTGTTTAACGATTTAAAAACCCTAAGAAGGGAGTTAAACGCATCAAAACACGACTATGGACCATTTTGGGGACTTAAACAATCATAAACGAAGCATAACGGGGTTCACGAACCTTGCATTACGAGTTTATACAATAATAATGGCTAAAATTAAATCTCTCCCAAATCTCTCTCAAAATCTCTCTCAACTTTTTATAGTCATCCGGGTCATCCCGGCCCTTAACTTGGCCAAAAACCGCTTGAAACGGGAAGTTTACTTGAAAAACAGCTAAATAGGGCCGAAACCTCTAGGAACCGAACCCATAGGGACCGAACTGCTTAAGGACCGAAAGTCCCTTTGAGAACCGAACTTAGCCTCTCAGGATCGAACCCTCCCAGTCTCGGACCGAACCTCAAGAACACCCGAAATGAACCGAGCCCTCGGTCCATTTCGCTTCCCTATCACCTTCGGGCCCGAGCCTCCCCTTCGGTTCCTTCTCCCCACTTTCGGTCCTCAACACCAAAGAACCGAACCCCTCGCAGGTTCGCTCCTATTGTCCGGTTTTCGACTACTTTCGCCTGTTAAGCCCGTTTTTGACGTGGATTTTTCACCAAATTCATATTTTTATCATTTTAAACTCCCTAAACTCATATTTTATTCATATCTCAAGGATTTATTAATTATAAATCATTATTTTACAATAAAGAAAATAGCCTAGAATATCAAGTGGGTCAAGTGTGCCCACTTGCCTTCCATGTGTCACCTCCTCATTAGCCAACCTTATCCATATCACACAAACCAAGGCAAACATCCTATCAATCTTGCAAGTTGCTCCAGCAACCTCCTATATAAAGAAATCCCTGGAGGATTTCTTGGTTTGCCTTGATCATTTCCTTCACCATCAAACGCTTACACTTCTCTTACCCCTCAAGAAAGCTTCTTTTCCTCTCTACTTCCAGCCACTTTTTGAAGGAGTTCTTGAGCTATTACTTCACTTTTTGGTAAGTATTTCATCTAAACTCAAGTGTTATTCCATGTTTTCTTAACATCCTTGAATCATCTACACACATTTTAACACCGAAAATCGTTCTTAGGATCATCCAACGATTCACGTGTTCATCAAGTGTTCTTGACTTGATACTCCTCGTCTTCAACCTTCCACTCTTCAAGAAATCACTCAAGGTGAGTTCATACCCCTACATTTTCCAGCTTTCTTTATTTTTCAGGGGGGGGGGGGGGAATACAAGTTAAAACACCAAAACATATTTAAAACTTAACTTGACAGCTTACAACATAAAAGTTGTGACCTGTTCACGAACTGTTTTACCCAACTTAAACTTAATATTTTTCAAAACTGTTTAACATGCAAATAGTTCAGGTTTATAACTTTAAAATGGCTATTTGCACATCTCCATACGATTTTTATACAATTTATGGTGATTTTTACAAAACTGCCTATCACTGCAGTAACAAAATCGGACCAAGCTGTGAAGATGAACATTTTCACACTGGTTTGAGACCACCAAAAATTATAGGAAAATTTATGAATATAGTAGACTCTTTTTCCAAACTCTCCGAGTTTACGGATTCAGTTTCGACTTACGATGATTTTTCTATAAATATTCTAAAACAGGGACAGTTAAGGGTAAAACTGTCAAAAACATGTTTAAGAGTAATTCACACATTGTAACATGCTGAGCAAGGTGTGTACGATTTACACTTAGTATTTTCATTGTCATTTTATTGAAATACAAAGTCATGCATAACAAGGTTTCATTACACGTAAAACACACTTGATAAACTATAATAGGTATAGTTTGAACACTTCGTTTAACAAAGAGACAGCAACACAATCGATTTACAAAACGGGTATTTCATTACAAACTACATGAACTTGTTAAAGAATAAATTTGTGAGTCATTCACCTTCAGGGTACTTTTTAGTACAACCGAAAAGTCCTGTAGTTATAACTAGAATCTCTTGTAGGGAGAGCGTGATAGTTGTGTATAGATCTATATTGGGCCTGACAAACCCGCACCTAAGCTGCTTGCAACAGCTAGATCGGCAGGTCTGGGGTGACAAATGTCATAACATTCCGACGCCTGAAGAACGTCGAGTACGAGGCCTTCGAGTTTTAGCATGGTTATAACAACTCACATGGGGAATTAACAAAACACACCGTTCACGGGGATTTACGAATTTTACAAAAAGGAGTTTTATTTAAATATAAAACCACACATAAGTATGACGATTTACTTACATACACTAAGTCTTGGTTCAGTTAAGACTACAATAAACCTTTTAGAAAATATAGGATTTTCTGGAAACAAACTTGCAACAAACTTTAAGGAACAACATCCATTTTTCATTCATAAATTGCTTATGAACTCACCAGCTTTAATGCCGATACTCTTTCAAAAACAACTTGTATTCTCAGATTTTCAGTAATACAGGTAACCACAAGAATTTGAAGGCAAGACGCCAAGGCGCATATTTTTGAACTATTTTGACATCATATGTAATTTATTTGGAAACATGTATTTTTGCAACGATGTAACCTTTTAAATTATATTTATGATGATTGTGTTTACTTTCTTCACTATGGTTATGATACTGAGCATGACGTCCTCCGCCCCCGAACGTTTCCGCCGTTCCGGTTTGGGGGTGTGACAGATTGGTATCAGAGCTTTGTTTATAGTGAACTAAGTATATCGAACCACGTAAGATATACAAACTATAAATATAACGGGACAAAAATTCTCTGACGTAGCTTTTCAAAAGTACTTTAAAAATAAAAATTTGTATTTTTATAAAAGTACACGTACTATCGCACTCATTAAATTCAATATCATATTGGCAATAACATAAAAGTATTGAGACAAGTTGGACACCATGATCCAGCTTCGGGATATGTAGTCAGATGTTGGATGGATATAGCCTGATCAACTATATTTAGCCAAGGTATGACCAACGTATGCGGAAGAAGAATCATGATGAGCAACAAGTCTACAACTTACCAAAAACTTCGAGAATTAAACATAAAAATACTGTAGGAGTATTTTAACACAAAAACCGTAATAATCACATTATAAATTGCGATAACTAACTTCTAACTCCCAAAATTTCTCGCGATATCCTTCTTATCCCTATTCTCGTACAGGCGCAATGGCAGGATTTCACTTACCGGATGACCCTTACTTCCCCAACCAAGGGAATGCCGGTTGGATTGTGGAAGACCCAATGGAAGATTCCGAAGAGGAACCCATGGAAGAAGAAGAACCCATGGAGGATGAAGAACCCATGGAAGAGGAAGAAGACTCAGATGGAACCGACTCAGAACCCGAAGTTTACAATCCACACCCTGCCCCTATCCCTCCGTAACACTTCCAGGGCCCGACGCCCCAATGGGCCGAAACTATACATAGATGGAGCCGAGAGCAAGGTCAACGTCCTCCTTATGGCATGCAACGAGGTTTTTACGACCTCAGTAGAGGAGGATTAGCCGACAGAGCCCTTCCTATCATAGTTCACCGTGTCGCACGCCACGAGGAGCAAACAAGGGTGAACCTCCACCACCTCATGGAAATTGGTGCCACCAGCCAAGTCAACTCCGTTCGCCTTCGCCGGTTGGATGATGACCACTATCGGACTCGAGACCGCACCGAGGTTCTTCGACGGGAAATGGCCGCGACCCAAGCCGAAGTACGAGAGATCCGGGAACACCGAGCCACTTTAGAAGGACGTCTGGCAGAAGCAGAACGCCAAGCGGCAGAATCCAGAGCTGAAATGAGGGAAACGAGGAACTTCGTGTCTTCACTTCGTGACCCTCAGAGCTTCAACTGCCGCAAGTAGTGTTTGCATTGCTCACTTCTGTTTAATCTAGTTTTGCGGATAAATATTACGATTATTTTTCTATTATTGTATGTCCGATCTTGCGATTTAAGTGTTTACACTTCCGGGATCTGTTAGGCGGTCAAAATTTTTCCATACATTGATGTAGCATAGACCCCTGTAGGGTCAAAATTTCCCAAATATTGTATACCAAGTTATATCAATGAAATTGGCACGCTATTTGTTTTATTGGGAACATTACATAAGGTTCATGACATGGATTATTTTCAGATTAAATTTACTGGTGGTCAATCTATGATTGCTTGATGTATAAATCAAAGTTATATATAATTAAGACCGGGTCGACCTAGAAATGATGGTTCCGCCTTGGATCCTGTTCCTTGTTTGGTTGTGGATCCAGGGCAGACCCATTAGATTCGGAAGTTTATTAAATCTTAAATTTATATAAATATTATACATCAAACGATTGTTGGATGAGCCCGGTATGGATTCTATCACAGACATTGCATGTGAATCAAAACTATCAACATTCATAAAGTCTATATTTCATTATCTATAGACCTCTAGT